ATGAGAAAAAGAATTCTTGCGAAGACAAATTCGTAGATATATGTATATATACATATATAAGTAACTTTCCAGTAACAACAATCGATCACAGTTTCTTAAAGCGTGTATCACGATTTATAACTCGCCTCGTTACGATTCATGTTAATCGATTTTAATATATATATATATATATATATATAGCGATGAGCGTCATTGACTAGCTAGACAAGCGCCTGTTTCGTAGGTCAAATATCGAGATAATGTATCAGTCTGGCGTGCGACTGCCAACGGTGTTTGTGCTTGAACTTCCGGCCGCAAATCGGGCATTCATACGTGGGCTCCTTGCCGCACTCGACTCTCAGGTGCTTCTTCAACGAGTCTTTCCACATGTATCGTTTGCCACACTGGAAGCACAACCATAATTTCTTCGAGGTGGCTGGAAAGAAAAATCGAGAAATTATTTCGACGGCTATACAACGAATCTTCTTATTTTCATGATACGTCATGTTTCGCACATAACAGACTAAAAAAGCTGTATCGGTGACACAAACTGATGTAATTTTTCACGTAAGATTGGGAACGTAAATTGGTGAGTTCATTTCGATTTCCATTAAAGTAGAACACGCAACTCGAATAGAGAAATTTCGCGCGTAAGTACGTATAAGTAAGGGTCGAAAAGGTGATCACACGTTTGATCCCAGAGGTGTGTCGACATTCTTTCATTCATTGAACACGAAATAATGTAAATCGAGTCTTCAATAAATAAAATGGTAGCAGCATACCGTGCGATCACACGTGTAGACCCCTTTAGGGTTGACCCTAGGTTCACGCAAGGAATAATACGATAAGAGCGTGTTAATTCTTATATTCCTTTCTTTTTCTAATCGAATTTGTAATTGTATTTTTCCACACCTCAATATCCTGATATAACACGCGAAAAAAAAAAAGGAATTATACGTATTTTGCGGCTCTTTCTCAACGAAACTTTTTATTATCGTACTCATTGCTATGATACTCGTTACAATAACTTGTGATAAAGTTAATGACGGTAGTCATGAATCGTTTGTTTTCACGATAATATCGAAACGTTTGGAATTATTATCGTTATAAATTAATTTGATGCATGGATTTTGCATGAGATTGCCATCGATGCTTATGCTTGAACTTTCTGCCACAAATTGGACATGTGAATGTAGGTTCTTTTCCACATTCCACCCGGATATGACTCTTCAAGGAACCACGCCATTGATAACGTTTCCCGCATTGAAAACAGAACCACACCTTCTGAGCTGTAAAAAAAGAAGTGTATCGGATTGGTTAGCCTTCTACCTTTTAAAATTTGATCGAATGAGACAAATTGATTCTCGATCATCACACTATTTTCCTTTTGCTACTCCACACTATGTTCTAAAAAACGAAAACGATTCAAGCCAATACAGCGTTAACATTGCTCTTACTCTTCACTCGAAATTACATGTTCGATTTACCAAGCAAATTTAAGATAATACTTCCTAATCGATTGTCAACGATTACTTTGGAATAACATGCACTTTACGAGAGTTTGGTGTACTTCTCGACAATTTTACATAGAAATTAGACTTCATCGTTAAATATTTATCGAGCCTTTATTAATCTTCTAATAAACTTGTGTACAATTTTTTGGAAGCCCAGGATTCTTAAACTTTGTATAATAAATCTTTCAAATTAATTTATACAAAGTCTTAAGTATCTTCTAATGATTTAAAAAAATTTATTTTGAAAAAAAGATCATTAGCAGTGTATACGGAATTTAACTTTTTCACAAAACTTATTCTATGTAAGTATATACATAGATACTATGTACATGTAATAAGATCTTATAGGACAAAATTTTTCCCATAATGTTGTTATTACAAAAATCCTAGAACACTCGATTTTTGCATTGTATTTTCAATCGTTTATTACATTCAATCATTTCATCACATATCAGTCATATTGAAATACAAGACTAGTGATACGCTCGATTCGGCTCGAGGTGAATTTATTTTAATTTTAACACACGTTATGCATTTTATACGAGATTTTTATATTATTGACATTTATAAAAATTATTATTTCAATTTTTTTTTCAAATTGTCATCTTAAAAACAAAATATTTCTATCACATGTTCTCTTGAAAAGTTTTAAAACCGTGCTATAAATTGTATGTATTAAACTCGCCTACAGAGTGCACCACTAGTATTGAAAATAGCTAAAAGACTCTACGTTTTATTCTCTCGTCTAAAAATCTAGTTTATCCACCAATATCAAAATTTAATTATTATATTGATCCTCATTAAAAATATGCCATAAAAAACAGAGATTGGATATCAATTTATGAATGTGTTGCAGAGGAAGGGTTAGTTAGGCTGTTCCAGAATTTTTTATATTTTTAATATACAGGTAAAAGATTTGCTCTATATGATCTTATTACACAAAATGTAGTGAGAGCCGCGATAAAATTCCAACTTTTATTATTATCGAAATCCCTGACTATGCAAATTCGAGGTAAGATGCGACTGCAATCTGTGCTTGTACTTGAACCTTCTGCCGCAAAGGACGCAGTTGAATTTCGGTTCCTTTCCGCAAAGGCGGAGATGCGTGTACATGGAGGATTTTCTCGAGTAGATCTTGCCGCATACTCTGCACGGGTAAACATTTTCTGGAGCAGCCTCACCTGAAACACAAACGATGAATCGTGCGTGGATGCAGAAAGCGTGGATGCTTCGCGTTAAAACTGGACAATGGACGCCACCCAGACAATTGACCACGACAGACATCTCTGACTTGAGAAATTTTTTTCTTTTTTTTTTTTTTAGTTAACGTT